CGTCTAATTCTCATCCGCAAAACACTGCAACTTCCTCCAATCCGAATCCCAAAGACTCGCCGCCAAATAAAAAAAGGAAAGCGGCATCTGAAGAAGTAACACATGTAATTCAATTGGGGTTAACTACCATATCCGAGGAAATCCAGAAAATGACTAGGGCTATAACGTCTTCTACTAATGACCTCACGGAGTTAAAAACCATACATGAAGAGTTGAAGACCATGGAGTTGTCATCTTCAGAAATCATGCGAGTTTGTTTAAAGTTTACAAAGAACCTGAATTTGTTACCGATGTGGAATAGTTTGGACACAACTACCAAACCACTTTTTGCGAATACTATATTGGAAGAAAACAACTGAAGTTTGTTACTTTTTTTATTTAAAATTAAGGATTTTGGGAACCATTTTAGTTTAGAACTTTGTTAATTTTGTAGTAATTTTGATTATTTGGTAATAGAACTTGTTTTAATTTGAGAATTTTAAATAATTTTTTTAATAAAAATGTTTATTTTGAAGTTATGTATGTTAATTAAAGTTATTATGAATCTTTTTTTACAAAAGGGTAGTATGGTCATTTTTACATCTTGTTCTGTCCAGTTCTATTGTTACCAAACAGTTTCAGACAACTTGTTCTGTTCTGTTCCAGTCTTACCAAACGCTATACAAATTATTTGTCCAGTCCAGTCCAGTCATGTTCAGTCCAGTCATGTTCATTTTTGTTCCACCCAGTTCTTCTGCCAAATAGATAGGAAGAAAAATAGGAACAAAAGGTAGGATATTTAATTTCTCATATAATACAAAATCATAGGTGAGCTCACGATTCCGCAGACAAATTGACAAAACCACAATTGTGTTTGATCCATCAATGTTTTCGTTGGCTATTTTTGGATAATTCGTAACTTTTAGCCATTTTTGCTAAGTCATAAATAAATAGGCTATTTTTGTAAACTTTTCAAAAATAAACGATCAAAAGGTAAGGGTATGAATGTCAATTCACAAGAGGTGGTGATCAGCTTTTATGTGGAAATTCATAATTGCACACCACATTTTCGTTGTTTCCACGCTATATTTAATTATTTATCTCCGTCCCAACGATTTCTGCTGAAGCGCATTCAACGACAGAAAAATTCGGAAGTCGACCGAGAGAGATCGAGAGATAATCGGATAACATGTCGTGGCAAGCTTACGTCGATGACCACTTGATGTGCGAGATCGAAGGCAACCACCTCTCTGCTGCCGCTATCCTCGGCCATGACGGCAGCATCTGGGCTCAATCCGCCAATTTCCCTCAGGTTCATTTCCAATCCACCAATTTATGTATAATTTTCATTATTCTTCAATTCATTTGCTCATACATAAGTTTTACTTCAATTGATTTGCTCAATCACAAAAACTATGCGGATCTGATCCATATCGATACTGCCTGAATCTGAGTTTAGATTTGTTGAGTTTTCCGTGTTTAATCGTTGTGTTTTGTGCGGCTAATTCATTTATCTGATTCACCGATCGTTGATGCGTTGGTTACAATCGTTTTATATGTCGATTTCTGAAGTTTCAATTCCTTTCATTCAGATTCGTCGAGTTTTTCGAGTTCAATCGATTTGTTTCATGTAGTTGTGTTGTTGATCTGGCTTAGCGATCCATGATGCGATGGCTGCAATCGCTTTGTAGTTTCATTTTCTAGAATTATAAGTGGTTCATTGCTGTTAGGGCATACAGGGTCGATCTTTGCAATCTAGTGCTCAACTTGCATATGATAGCTTCTTTTGAGCTTTCGAATAACTAACTTTGGACCTAGTTTTTATTCACTGATCCATGGATAGATATAAACTTTACTTTAACAATTGATCTCGTTTGAAGGATATAAAGGTTCTAGATCTGAGTAAGTTTCAATGGAAAAAGAAAACTTACTGTTTCTTTTTGTCTACCAAATCAACCAATACTCTTGAGTCTTGAGTGCAATTCATAAGCTTATTTCTTCCTTTTTAACTCCAGATCTTTGTTTGTTGAACTGAATCACTGATAATCTATCTTTTTGGGTGATGAAACAGGTGAAGCCAGAGGAAGTAACTGGTATCATCAATGACTTCAATGAGCCTGGCACACTTGCTCCAACTGGATTACACATTGGTGGGACCAAGTATATGGTGATTCAAGGTGAATCAGGAGTTGTTATTCGAGGCAAAAAGGTGATCAAATCTTTTTTATAGAGTCACTAACTTTCCTTACCTCATGTTAGTCTTTTTTTTTTCAAAGTAAAATACCTTAATCACAAATGTTAGGTCATAATTTTTGTCTCTATTAAATGGTTGTGATTCCGATTCTGATTCCAGGGACCAGGAGGTGTTACAATTAAGAAGACCGGAATGGCTTTGATCATTGGGATCTATGATGAGCCAATGACTCCAGGTCAATGCAACTTGATTGTTGAAAGGCTTGGTGATTACCTTGTGGATCAGGGTTTCTAGTTTGCTTTGGTATGTTTTAATTTATATATTTCAATTTCTTCATTAAAAAATCTGGATGATATTTTTATTTTATTATTATTTTTTGTTAATGTGACTAACGATGGTAATTACAGGAGGGAAATGATACGTGAGTAACTAAGGTGTGACAGTATATGAAGACTGATTAAACTTCTAGTGGTGTTACCCTCATCATGATTTAAGTGTGATACTTGTTTTGGTGGATTTTTTTTTTTTAATTTTTGAATGTACTATTATTATAATCTCATATTTTTGTTTGTTTTCTATGCTTTTATTAGTTTATTCCCCTTATTATTTTTTTTTTACCATTCCACAAGTCAATTTAGTTAAATACTTTGTCTTAAAAGGTGATAAACATTAAACAACCATCTGCCTTTGGAAAGATGAACATACATTAGCATCAACTTTCAAACCTATCTTTATTGACACCAAATAAAAAAACCCAGAAAATTTTATATCTAAGGTTAAATATAAACTATAGTTCCAAACCTTTGATCTGAAGTATTAAGTTTCGTCTATGAAAAAGTAATGAAGTTATTTTGGATGTCTTTCGAGTTATTTTTGAATCTCTTTTATAAAGAAAATTGCAAATAGTGTATATTGGGCTTTGAAGTGGGCCTACATTTATATGGGCCTACTGCACTGTCCCTGATGCGAAACTCGAAAATGGGCAAAAACATGTAATGTAATTTACCAATAGATAAAATCAATTATTTTCACTTCAGATCCAGAAGGGGGACGAAAGGGAAGGGGTTGGTCGTGGATGGCTTGTAGGGGTGGGGTGGGGTGGGGTGGTGTGCCCTTAATAACATAATTAGTAAAATGATAATATATATATATATATATAGAAAAGTTCAATAGAGAACCATAATTATTGGTTTTTCAAGGAACCAAATCTTTTTTTTCAATTTCTAGAGCTTATTCTTTATCGAAAAAAAAATCTAAAAATATCTAAATTCATATATTAACATTGTGAATGTGAAAAATATTTTTCGGATTCACCGTGTGAATCCGGATTCACATTGTGAATTTTCAAAGATTCACATTGTGAATTTGACATAAAAAAAATCGAATTTGATATCATTGGAAAAAGGATAAAAAGTTATGAATTTCTGTATTTTTAGTTTTTTTTTTAATAAAAAATAAGTTCTAAAAGTTGAAAAAAAGATTGGTTCATTGGTTCCTTGGTCAATTATGGTTCTCTATTGAACCTCACCCTATATATATATATATATATATATATATATATATATATATATATATATATATATAATATATATATATATATATATATATATATATATATATATATATAGGAGTAGGATAAAATGAGAACACCTAAAAGGTTGAGAACGCGAGAACAGATCTGGACTATCTAAATACTAAGATCTATGGTTACTATTAAATGGGGGATTTATGAAAAATTCTAAAAGTACTGGCATTTAAGTGTAACATTTGAATGGTCAGAAGGGCATAACAGGAATTGCAACTTTACCTAATTCCTATAATTTCTCACCCTCTCACCTCTTACCTTTCTTATTCTCGTATCTATATCCTCTCTCTCTCTAGGGTTTCATAAGATGCATCGACTGTGACAACCATAGCCGACCTTCCCCTGGTCTAAACAACATCACTTGCAAGAGGATTCGGAGAAAGAGAAAGAGAGATCGAGAAGGAAAAAATGTCCGCCGATTTGGGTTGTTAGTGGCGAATAACACAATAAGATTCAAAGAGATATTGAGAAGGGGAAGTAAAAAGTCGTTTGTGTTCTCGGTTCTTGATCTACTCCAAATCGATCGACGAGTATTATGCCATCGTTTTCTAACAAACGGAATCTCGATTTCCAGTGTGTTGTTTGAATCGCATACAGATAATTCGATATATAAATTGAATGTCAAATTCAAATTGATCGACACGTACAGACCTGCCTATCATTCGAGCAAATACTTGATTGCATATCGTTTTGGTTACAAATATTCCAGACTTACATCCAGATTCAAGAGGCGAAATTCTTTTTCTTGTGTATGTTTCTCAGGTACAGTACTTTACTTATTTAAATTGGCTAATAGAGGAAGAAGATAAGTTGTGCACGTAAGGTGCTTGATGAAATGCCCGAATTAACAAAACTGGAACTTGAATGCTTGCTCGATTCTTTCTTAATATTTTCTTTGATTTTCTTTTTCTGACAATATTCAATGAAAGAAAATCAAAGCTAACATTTTGCTACACCCTCAATGACAAGCAAAACCAATAGAACATTCAAATTTATCTGTATTGATGCAAACAAAATTACTTAATTATTTCTAACTGTTTGCGCTTTGTTTTTTTTTTCTTCCTTTTCTGGAATAATCATGCATGAATATAGTTATATTCATACATGAATATAACAATAACCATATATACGTTTTAACAGTAAACATGTGACATTTTGCCCAATTTTGGTCCCTTAAATTACATTTCCGGTCCCTCTATTTTTGTTTGTGTGTCACTTTAACTTTAACTAGGTTACTCTCCTTTACCATGGTTGCCGATCCTTCCTACCGCCTTCACAGATCTATATCCGTCTTCTACCTTCCGGATCTTTCCCCCTGCGTCCTTATCTTCGAAATTTCAGATGAGCATCCAAACCTTCCGTTCTCTTTCTTCCTTCGGAGGTGCTAGAGAAGGTGAGCCGCCGCTTCCACCGCTTTCTAATTCTTTCAGTCTTTTCTATTCAGCCACCACCACCGTTGCTTACGTTTCTTCATCAGGTTTCGTCTGGTGCGTCTTCTTCAACCTCCTGACCCCAGCCCTGCACGATTGGGGGCAGTGGTTCGGTTTAGAATCTATATGGTCGGTTTATTCCACTCCCCAAAGTCGATTTTCGGACTCCATCACCGCCATCAGCCACAGCCATAGACGGTTTATTCCACTCCCCAAAGTCGATTTTCGGACTCCATCACCGCCATCTTCTCATCTTCGACACCGTCTTCAGGGAAGAGACGAAGGGGTAGACCTCCCGGTTGTGGAAATAAATAACAGCTTGATGCTTCATGTAGTTGGTATATGCTTATATACATACCCATTCAGATCATACTCATACGTAGATTCAATTATTTATTCATTGTTTTCATCAACACTTTCTTCACGTTTTGCATATTATATTACCCGTTCAGATCCTTATTTTATTAGCTTTGTGATTAAGTTGATAGATTCTGATGAAATCATGAATGTGCACATATTAAAATAACATCAGAGGATGATGCTAGACTGTATTTTTCACATTTTCTTTGTTTTTTTCTTTCATATTCTTCTTTAGCTGAAATGGGGTTTTCTTCTATGTATCTAATTTTCACAGGAATTTGAAACTAATATTCATGCACACCACCTGCTCGATAAAATGCCTGAACCGAATCTTATTATTTTTTCCTTTTTAAAAGCCCATAAAATTTTCCACGCCTGCTTCTTAGTTGCTGCATATCTCTCAAACGGTAATGTTCCAGCCTGTATAATTCATTAAAGAATTTAATACTTTTTTCAAAATGACTTGATTATTTTGCAAAACGACATCATAATTTGGTGAAAAAAAGAGAACAATTGTACAATAAAATTGTTAGAAATGTTTTTTTCCTTCAATTTTTTTTTGAGGTGAACATATTTATTATTAATACTTCAGGTATATGCTATCATTTTCAGTTGGTGCTGGCCCTTTTCCTTCTCTGCTATCTCCAAAGATTTTTTCCTCGAGCTTTAGAGCAAAAGCAATTGCCTTATCACCTAAAATGCATTGGGTAAGTTTACGTCATTTTTATTCTTTAGAAATATGATCATTTTTACTAACAAATGGTGATATTTTTAATGATCAGATATCAAACATTGTAGTCGGGTTGTATTTCTTGAGTGTGGTGACTAAATTTGGGATAAGAAAAGTGTACATGGGATATGTGAGACTCATAAGAAGATATGAATTAGATTTTATTAACTTCTATTTGCTGAAACATATTGTCTACTTCGTTTTCAGCTTAATAAGCTTGAAATTTTGGCATTGCAGTTCACCTCCTATGTTGTCATACTAAAAATTATAATGTTTATGATATGTTACCATATCGGCTACAGAACCCAATTTCATGAGGCACCGATTCATCTATTTTCTTCTCCTATACTCCTAATTTCACCAGGTTTGTCACAAAAAACTACTGGAAATTGTCACCATTGGAAGTATCTATTTGTCAGTCCTTATTATTTAGTATTTAATTTAATTTTTATGTTATTTATGAATTAAGATTATACAATTATAATTGTTTAAAAAAAAAAGAATAGATAATTTGTTTCATTTTTTTATTGAGTTTTCTTTTCAGATCTTCATCTTATAAAACAGTCGCTATATGGTTCTTCAAGGTATGAGAAGCCCAAGATTGTTCTATAAAACAGTTTAATAATCGTTATCTTCTTTTTCTCTTCATTACTAGCAAGGAAAGGACATAGTTTGCAGCCATTATGACAAAGATTGTTCTGTAAACAGTTGTTTAACCTTCTTTAACTAATTTTTTTCTATTGAATCTAGGAGTAAGAAAATTATTGATTTCGATTAGTAATTTGAGATTCAATATTAAGAACACAAATTGTTTATTGTTAATTTTGCTCGATTCTGCTATAATGGTTTGGTTATGTGTTTTAACTGATTCTGCCTGTTGTTCTTCTGCATTTGTCGTCTGCCTTCCTTCGCTTTCTCCACCTGCTTCCAATTTGGGTGTTACTCTTTTATGCAGGATGGAGATATTATAAATATTAATGTCACCGTTTACTTAGATGTAAGATTATCATATTCTTTTTTTATAGAAATATTATATATATTTTTTTATCCATCTTTTTATTAGGGTTATCATGCTGATACCTCAAAGACATTTTTATGTAGAAATGTTGATGAAGCCACAAAACGACTTGTAGAGGTACACCTCATATTAAAATTGATGAAGATTATTAATAGAATTTTTATCTTTATTTTTAGTTTTTTCAATTCTGTTTCTACATTCATGACAGGTTACTGAACAATGCTTAGAGAGAGGTATTTCTGTTTGCAAAGATGTTTCTCCATTGATGACACGTGTGCGGTATGTTTTTTTCTTACGTTTTGCATACAGCTTCTTTGGTAAAAGTTACTGACTTGAAGAGTTTTTAACGAAAATTTCCCGTGTATACAGTTTAACTATAGTACCTGAATTTGAAAATTTTAAACAAATTTAATAGAATTACATTAGAATAACCTTAATAAAATATTAGATGTTACTTTTAGGCAAAGTATGTCAAGTTTTGGTTGACTTTCAATTCATACATATCTAACAGTGGCTCACTTTCAATTCTTTTTTAGATTTAGGTTTTTTTTTTTTTTCAAATTTAGGTGGCAACAAGAGTACATAGCAGCAAATTTTCTATTTGAACTTTTTTTTTTTGTTTTTTGCGATTTGTTTTCATTTCCTTTTCCAAAAACCAAAATACATTGCCATTTGGTCAATTTTCCATTTTTAATTGACAGCTACACTAAATAGCAACGTACTTTGAATTTACACATTTATTTGGTTTATGCAATTTGTTTTCATTTTTTTTACCAAAAAGAAAAATATATTCCTATTTGTTACAAATTTAACCACTATTATCAGCTAATCAATATGTTTTTTAATAGTTGATTAAATAGAACTTTATTTTTTTTTCTTTTTTTTTTTGTTTGGTAATTCATTGAAATATAATGTTTGCAGTTGCTATTACAACAGATTTCGACACATGGGCAACAACAGATATTGTTCGATGCCTAATCTTCAACTAAGAATCAGGTAAATAAACCATACTTGAACATCCGAATAATTTTTATTTATTTATTTTTTAAGTTATGCATGAACTTTAGATTAATTTTCAATTTTAGAAGTTACCTAACAAAGCCGACGATTGAACATCCCAAAGTTTTGATATGTTTTTTTTCTTTTCTTTTCTCAGGACTTATGGAATCTAAGAAAGCCGACAATTGAACTTATTAACATACTGTAACACACACTAATCAACAAATTGATTTTTTTTTTGTTTGCTGTGGTGACTTTGCTTTTATCAGATACGTGTGTTGTCATTTTATCAAATGTTTTTTCAGCTAGCCAATGTTATACTTAGACAACACTTAATGAGGAAAAAACCATGAAGTATTTGATCCGTGGAATCCGGCTCTTCGGTTCGATCCCATCAACCAAAGGATAAACCCATGAAGTATATATTTCGATAAATAGCTTATCCGACAACAAAAAAATTATCCATGACGAAATAATATTACTGCTCCATAACAATGCTCAAACTATAAACAGATAGTTGATCAAACAACATTTAGAACAAACAACGGAAAAAATTGTCGCATCCGACCCCCGCAACGCGGGGCTCCCCATCTAGTATACATTATTATAGTTTGTGAATTATTTTCAGGAATAATCATACACGAATATAGCTATAATCATACATGAAAATTACTCAAATATTTCTAATTGTTTGCCATTTGTTTTTTACAGGTATGAATGTAAGAATAACAAAGATCACATGTGCCTTTGTTTTTGGGTGTGATGGTAGCATCAAGATTAACGATCATGAGCGCAACATCGTTTTTTATGATTATAAATGTATTAGATATTTTTTTATCTGTTTCATTCTTTAGTGATTTCAACTAATTTTTTTAACTTCCCATTGTTCTTTATTCATTTGCGATTACACATGTATTCATTTTTTTTTACCTTTGTATTGTTATTTCTTCATTTGTGATTATAATTGTTTTGAGTTTTTATCTATCTTATTGTATGTTATTAATTAAAGTATTTGTTGTTATTTATAATTATTCATGATTAACATAACCCGATCAATTAAAATTCTAAACAATTATGTAAAAGTTTATTTTTATGTACATTTCAATCATTAATGAATTTAACATAAAAGTATTTTTTTTTAATCTAAATAAAGCATAGTTAAAAAACAAAAACCTAGAAGTTATAAAAAAATTATTTTTCATTCATTAATGAATGAATTCGTATGAATCATCTGGTATAAAAAATGATTTTTTTAAATTAGAAAAGTGATAATTTTTTTAAAAAAATATTTTATTAATAAAAAAATATATATATTTTGGAAACGGTCCCTAAATTTAAGGAAAGTGGTTTCTAATTTTATATAATTTAATTAAAACAATTACTAATATGCCCTTATATAATGATTGGTCAAGAATTGTTCTCGCGTTCTCAACCTTTTAGGCGTTCTCATTTGATATTTCCCTATATATATATATATATATATATATATATATATATATATATATATATATATATATATATATATATATCTATATATATATATTATCAAATTACTATGATATGTCGGCAACAGGACAGTGGATTCACGCCAATGTCAAACTATTTGACTTGATGTTTTTTCCTTAGGTTGGAGGAATGAAAGACTATTTTTGTTCGAACGTCCTTTAAAATTGCCTTATTTTTCAGAGTTTTCAGGCATTTAGGTTTCTTCGGTTGAATAGTGTTAGAATTACCCTATGATGATTACTGGTTTACTAAATTATATAAAACCTTGATGATTTGAATTTGATATACTACTTTGTTAAAGGTTCAACTTTTGTAATATATCCAACGTTCAAGAACCAAAAGATTTCTAGCCCAGTAGTATCTGATATCATCAGGTGTTGCCCTCCTCCTTGAGATCGAGGGTTCAAGTTATCGTTGTGGACATAAATGAAATTAAAGAGCATATTAGATTTGTCGTTAAAAAAATAATAAAAAAATCCAACATCCAAGAGCATGATGTTAACTGGGTTTTTATAAATATCTCAACCATTGTGATTTTTAGATGTCTTTCCCAAAACTAGTGTTTTCGGAGCTTGCATGTAAAGTTGGTTATTATGATATTATTGTAGGAAATATATGTTGTTATTAAAGAAGTATAAATTCAATAAACTTATTACCAAAACAGTAAAAAACAGAATACTTAGTAAATTATAAAACAAAATCAGTCAGAAACATACTTAAATATGGATATTACACAATGAAATAGGTACATATCGAGGCTGTAAATGCAATGTCCTAACCCTGACTGTCGTAAGGGTTCAACAATCTAATCAAGAGTTCTTTATTCTGTCGAAATGGCTATGCTCCCTTTATGATCCAAAAAACGGACTTGCATGAATTCGTGTGGTGTATAATGTTTCTGACTCTCTCAAAATCTATTAAAAGAGATACTTAAGTCTTTCCATGTAACAATTATCAATTGTCAATACCGAAAATAATTGTCTAAAAACTTGTCATATTCATTTACAAAGAACTAATAAGTTAGTTTAACAATTAAAAAAAAAATCCGTAATTAAGTGGATTAAAAAATATTTTAATACAGTAAAGAAAAGCCTAAGAGCTCAAGGCCGAAAATTTTGGCCATTAAATTTTATTTAATCCAAGAAAAATTCATGCCTCATTAGGCTAATAAGTTGGATGAAGCTGAAACAGTGAGAATTTTGACTCGTAATCTGAAAAGGGTCAAGTTTGTTGGATTCGATGGATAGGGAAAATCCGAAAGTAGCTGGAAATGCATTGGAATTTGGAAGAAATGGTTTCACTTGGGATAACAAAAAAAATTATGTGACATCCCCATTTTCACGGCTAGAAAAGACCGATTTTGTTTATGCTTTATAAAAATCAGAGTATCTATTTTAATAAAAATGTTGCGGAATTTGTTCCCAGAAAAACATGATAAATACATTATCAAAGCATTTCCGAAGAAATGTATTTTTATTCATTTTAAAACATTTGGGATGTCATCGTCAATACAGAAACATAAGCATAAACAGAACTTACATTCATTTACACTAGTGATCTACATCTATTTTAAATCTCAGTGTAAAGTAGTTTCATATCGACACCTGTGATACAAATAAGCTTGAGTGACTCAGGTTGGGAAACATGGTGAGTACATAGGGTTTTCAACCCACAATAATATAATTATTATGTTTAATCATCAAACAGTTAACCCAATTACTCATCCCCATTATCTTCCTTACTCTTAAGGGTCTACCCTAAGAATTAGCTATCCCTTGTTTATTCATTCCTAAGGATCATCCTAAGGAATCGGCACGACATCCATCGTTGCCAGAGTTTACTCAACAGGCACTACGTCGCATAGTCGCCAGGGCTTAGGCACTAAGTCTCATAGTCGCCAGGGTTTATACAACAGGCACTAAGTCGCATAGTCGCCAGGGTTTAGGCTCTAAGTCTCATAGTCACCAGGGTTTAGGCACTAAGTCTCATAGTTGCCAAGGTTTATCTCGTTTATCAACAATATCGTTTTCGAGAATCCACTCGCAATACATGTCAATGGGTTTTTAGAGTACAGCTGGTGAATACACAGTTCAAATAAACACCTACAGGTTGCGAGCCTGCTAGTGTTCCACTGGACTGTCTAGAATAGTCTGTGGTTGTCATCCATACTCTGCTAGATGACGGGGCCAACACTTGGGTAAAAGGCTTCTCTCATGGTTCACCTCTCACCCTTATCTCATGGTCTATATCATCTCTCATCATTTTATTTTTGTCACACAACAACTATTTCATATACCCATGTTTTACCCAACACATTTTGTAGATATAAAATACATATACAGTTTAAATCATTTAAAACATGTATAAAAAATCTTTCACCCAGCATAGACAGCAAGCATTCAGGCAATATACACACATATCACGTAATTTATATTAAAATACTTCATATGTATGTGTAAGATGAAAGTAACTATGCACTCACCTGATAAGGTGGTGACTCGGTACTTGGACAGCGCTTCGTTAATCTTAAAATAATTTCCCTCGGACAAAACCTTGTATCATTACGACTAGAGTTTAGTCTCATTTTAACCGAGACAAATTAATAGTCTAGCTATTATTACTATTATATAAGCGTTAAACAATACTCTTCGCCCACTATGTACAGACAGGGGCCAGACATGGAACACCGGAGGGCACGATCATTTTGGCATAAAGCACTTTTGAATCCAGCAACCCAAGCGGCCCTCCAAACCAGATTCCCCGTACCGCGAGTGGTTAAAAAGATATTATAGCGACACTTATATAACTCATAATAATAGCCCAAATACTTATTATAAGGTCCTAATAACATTACTATATTAAAACATAAGCTATACTAAAGATAGGGTAGGCATAACTCACTTACAGCGGGTTTTCTCGAAAACCGGGCTTCGCTGGAGCAGCGTTTCCGAGCCGAAAGGCTCTTTTCTCGGGGCTCTGGGAGCCTCGGGAATTCCTTCGGGTGCTAGGGGGAGTACTGACCACGACCTCTATTTATAGGCCGAAAGGTTGGATTTGGTGTGAGAATTATGGCTGCCCACGACCTCTATTTATAGGCTTGAAATCTGATCGACTCGCCGAGTCGGAGTACTGACCCGCCGAGTCCATGCCACATGTCACCATTCTGGTGGCAAAACGTGGGTGGCCTATAGTGTGCCACGTCACCCCTTTTGCAGCAGCACCCTGCCGACTTCTAAATCTCGTAACTTTCGCATACGAGCTCCGTTTTCGACGTTCTTTATATCCACGCGTAGGTAAAAACAATATCTACAACTTTCATTTTGACTCCGTCGGCTAATTCTTGACCGATTTTAAATTTAATAGTAGGAGGAGATTATATTGTTAAATGTCCGCGTAAAATTCATAACTTCTACATACGGACTCCGTTTTCGTCTGTATTTTTATGGTTGAGTTCCTATTAATGAGATCTTCAACTCTCATTTAGTTCGCGTAGGCCAAAAACCACTCGAACTAAAATTCGAGTTTCGGGTCGTGCACAGCAATGCCAAATCTTAGAAAATTCATAACTTCCTCCTACGAAGTCGGATTTGGACGTTCTTTTTTTGTATGTTCTCGGTTTAACGTATACTACAACTTTTGTTTAGATCACTATGGCTGAAAAATCCTCTATAGTAAATTCACTATTTACGTCTCCCGGTGTCGTGCCGATTTTGCCGTAAAACTTCAACGGGCCATAACTTCTTCGTTATAACTCGGATTTCGGCGTTCTTTATATGTACGAAACCCTTGTAACATATGCTACAACTTGGTTAAGATTACTCCTCCTAAATAATCTTCCATAAAAAACTCATTTTTGATGCTCATTGTCTCTAAATTGACTAGCCCGGATCTACGGGCGTTACAAATTACCATCAATGTCAATCGAGACTATGAAGAAAATGTCAAATTTTCACAAGGCTTCTTCAAACGTTTAAACTGGTTATTCTTTTTCTTTGAGGACTAAGGAAAATTGTGTTAGGCTTGATTACACACAATAGCAACATATTTTAGGTCTAAAATTTTATCTTATGCGATGTATATATTATGTAACATAGAACCATTTATTTTTTGTTCATTATAGGCAATATACTTTGTGTTATTTCACACAGTATGGTGAATATACTACCTAAAATAGGAATTTATTTAAAACAATTTGTTATCATCAATTGCTAGAGTTTCCTAAAGTTTTATGAGAAAGTTGTGGTCGCCATGACCAAATAAATAAAATGAATAGCAAGGTATGTTCGTCAAAACTAACCGGAAGGTATAATTTTTATTTGTATACATTATACAAGTATTCGGCAAAAACAACGGGAGGCTTTTAAAACATATAAAATCATATCAAATGACTTATCTAAAACACGTTATTTATAAAAATTAAGTC